ACTCTCAATCAATCAATCAATCATCGCAGTTAAGCCCGCATATCTCGAGCACGGGTCCTTCCCTCGACACAAACGGGTTTACCCTAACCCACACGAGCGTGAGTATAGACCCAAGCAAAATCGACCATATAACAATAACTGTTGGCACTCGTTCTTGTTTCCCCGTGAGCCCCTTGAGGAACGGGTACAAGTGCACGACGACCCAAATGGCAAAAAACAACCTCCCGAAGAGTGGGCCCCACGAGTCATACCCATTGTTAACTGCATCGGCCACACCAACCACAACGCCCACAATATTGACGATCAATAGCGTGGTTGGCGGGATAAGTAGCGAAGTCCACTTGAAGATGTAGAGCTCGGCAAAGTTGGGGCCATCGTCTCCTTCTCCTCCGCCGCCTTTGGAGGTGACGGTGAAGTTTGTGCTTACGCCGGCAAGGACTTTGAGGAGGCCTTGAAGGAGGGCGAAGAGGTGGGCGGAGACGCCACCGATGACCCAGAATTGCTCGTTCCGCCACCAGTCGTCGATGCCGACGCCGCCCCACCGCATCTCGAGCACGCCGGTTGCGGCTATCGAGACGAATAGGGACATGAACACGATGCTTGCGTAGTTGCTTATCTGTNGGAGGTCAAGTTTAGATTAGAGCACTAAAGGATGGATATCGTGTGTGTGTGTGTGTGAAAATGGAGTGATTTGAGAAAAATTGCAATTCCTGTCATGTATGTTTCACTACCCTAACTTTTCCGTCCCCTTCTTCGAATTGTTGTTTTGGTTTTCGTCCTTATATTTGCAAAAAGGTTACGAAAAGATTCCCTCAAGGACGAAAAATTGCAACTTTTTTGCAAATTCAAAAGGGATTTTTTTTTGCGAAAAGGAGCTTTATGTACCTTTATTGCAAACATAAGGCAAGAAATTGAAAACAACAATTCAAAGGAGGGACCAAAAAGTTATGGTTGATAACATACAGGATTAAAATTGCAATTTTCTCGAGTGATTTGAAAATAATTGCAATTTTAGTCATGTATGTTTCACTACCACACTTTTTTCGTGTCCCCTTTGTATTGCTGTTTTGATTTTCTCCCTGCAAAAAAAGTTACAAAAAGGTCTTCTCCAGAATGGACGAAATTGCAATTTTTTTATTTTTTTTTCCAAATTCGAAGGGATGTTTTTGTTGCGAAAAGGACCTTTTGTAGCCTTATTGCAAAGATAAGAGACGAAATTCAAAACAACAAATAGTAAGTTTACTCAACACACGTTCAATTTGTAAAATACTGCAAATGGAAAATTCACCGCGTGCCTCAATTTCGAAAACACCAAAGGGTAGTATTTTGAAAATGTTAATTTATTATTTCGAAAGGTGACAAATACAATGATGTGTTTGTTTAACACATTGTGGAGTTTCCACGTACCTCAGGGACAATGAATTTTCCGGTGAGAAGACAAATGGCCGGCAGTGTACAGTAGACGAGCAACGGGATAGAAGTCCACGGATACACTACCGAGTTAATGTAGGAAAACCTTTCGAGCCACTTCAATCCACCCCCATAACCGTACCATATTGGGCAGTGTTTGCTCAGGAATATCTCGACTGACCCAAGAGCCCACCTGAGAACCTGGTGAAGACGATCCGAAAGGTTAATCGGAGCCGATCCCTTAAATGCGGCTCTCTTGGGTATGCAGTAAACCGAACGCCAACCATGACAATGCATTTTGAAACCGGTCAAAATGTCTTCCGTAACCGAGCCATATATCCAACCGACCTGATAAATAACGAAAAACTAAATTATTACAGGTGAACAAAAAAAAAAACGTGTGATTGTTCAGCATTCGTGAAATATAGTGAGAGTCGTACCAAATTATTATTATTATTATTATTATTATTTTTGTCCCAATATAAACTTACTTCTTTTCCCCATTCTGTCTTATCTTCATAACCACAACCGATAACATGGATAGCTTCTTTCAAGAGTGATGTGGAACTAATGGCTTCAAGAACGCCACCATTTTCGCGTAAAGTTGAAGCAACAAAAACAGGTGACTGCCCAAACTTCTTCTCGAGCTTCTCTTGGGGAATAAAGGGTCGGCTAACAATAGTTGTGTCTGTAACAAATCAACAAACTTTACTACATTAGTTACCGTAAAATTTTCTATTTTTTTAGTTTTTTTCCAAAATGAGAGCTCTTTTACCTTCAATCCCTTCTTCAATGGTTTCGAGGGCATGTATTTGCTTCGACCCCTCTCTATGCTTCGATTTCTTCTTGTTTTTCTTCGTTTTCCCTTTTTTATTTCTCCACAAACAGCACCACTTTGGCCAGCAGTTACAAGTCTTGCTAGGCGCCTTCTTTTTAGCAGGCGCATCATATCCATACAATGCTTGCCTTCTAAATACACAACCTGTACCAACATATATAGGCCCTTGCAAGCCATCCAAGCCCTTCATATTAATCTGTTCCCCCCACAAATAAAAAGAGATCCTTTTTTAAGTTCCTCAAAACATTACACACAAAAAATAAATACAATTCAATATATATATATATATATATATATATATATAAATAAAACGTACATCAAAAAACACCACGTTACGATTCGAATACCGATCGTGTCTGTCGATGCCATCGAATCTTTGTGGAAACTGCACGTAGCACACTTTCTTCCCCGAAGTGGGGTCCATCATAAAGCACATGGCTTCTCTCATAGCCTTGCTGTTATTTATGTAGTGATCACAATCTACGTTTAGAAGATAGGGAGCATTTGATAGGACAGCCGATACTCGAATCTGGAGAAATTATTATTATAGAAGTGATAAAGTCAGTCATAAGCTATATACATTTTTTTTCTGGTTCTATCTTATTATAAACGGCATTATTTATTTACAATTTCTATTTTTTTTTACCAGTGCATTCATAGCCCCGGCTTTCTTATGATGCTCGAAACCAGGTCTCTTTTCACGTGAAACATAAACCAGGCGAGGCAGCACATTCCCTTCATTATCACGAACACCGTCATGACCTAGAAATACCTGTTTTGAAAGAAAGTCAGAAAAAAAAATTAAAATTTAAAAAAAAAAAAGAAAAAATAAAATTAAATAGTTTTGATGAGCAGTATCACTAACCTGAATCATACCAGGATGGTCTCTGACATTATTACCGGGCCAAGGTGTTCCATCCTGCATTGTCCAACCTTCTTCCGGAACCTTCTCAGCCATAGCCACTAAACGATTAATCCGAACTTTGAACTCTTCATACTCTCTCTGTACTCAATAAATAAACATGACATCAAAATCAAAACCCATAACAGAACTCTATTAATCTCTCACAAATTACAAATTTGTAAACTCAGAGAAACTTCATTATTATATAACTCGTCAAAAGTACAAACCTTCATTGCACGCCTCTCCCCCACGAAAGCTGGATGTACTTTATTCTTGAGATAGTCAATCTTCTGAGAGAAGTACCATTCAGGGGCACGAGGCTCGATATTGAACTTCTTACAAAACGGGACCCACTTACGAGCGAACTCAGAGGTCTCGGAAAGTGCCTCGAAAGTTAGCATGGCCGCACCATCATCCGAGACATAGCACGACACTTTGTCGACTGGATAATCCACAGCAAGAATCGAGAGCACCGTATTTGCCGTAATCAGCGGAGGCTCTTTCGTGGGGTCCACCGTGCTGACAAACACGTCTATATCTGCTAATTCTGAGGGCTTCCCTTCTTTTTCGTACCTGTGTACAAAAAATTTCAAGCAAAAAAAAAAAAAAAAAAANCAAAAAAAAAAAAAAAAAATATCAGAAAAGTTACAAAATTTGAAACTTGAACTCATTCATGCAAAATTTATAAAAGCCAAATGAACTTTACCGAAGTGACAGCCTGTCGAGATATGTTTCGCGTTCGATTGGGTACCATTTAGGGAATTGATCGAGTATCCATGAAATAGCAAACCATATTTCACAAATAACTGATGTTAACCAAAGGCCATAAGCATCGGGAACTGGATGTAGAATCCTATAGTGAAAGAACAAGCCAAGAACAACAAGACGAAGAACGATTATCATTCTGTACGGGTTTATCTTGCTAGATGCAATCGGCATTTTCCTTGAAAGTGGCTGCCTTCCCTCATCCATCCTGCCCATATAGATATAAATAGCAGATTAAAGTCAAACCAAGAACATTTTTATTTTTATCTCATAAATCGTTGGATGAGAATAAAAACGAGTAGTTTAACTTTACAAGAAGTATATATTACCTCATATTTTAGGACAAATGAAAGACAATATTTTAGGAGAAATAAACTATTACCACATTGTCTGTTTCCTTACATAGGCAAATCCGGGTCATTTTCATCAAAGTCCCCACCATCATTATTCCTTTCATGTTTAACCACTTGAAATTTTTCGTTTTGCCTCCTTTTCCACTCCTCCATTCGGTCTTTCCATGCTACACTTCCGTACCCATATAATGCAATGTCTTTTTCCGGGGCCATTGGTCGGGGATTAGCTGGTATTACAAGAAAAAATATGGAATTAATAAAGAGTAAAGTTAAGAAAGGATTTCATATAGCAAAACATTCCTACTTGCAAAGAAACAACTTACAAGGTGCTTCTGTGTTTGGGGGTAATATGATGGCATTCTGATTATCTGCAATTTCGGCATCCTAGAATTACGCAGGGAACAACAATTAGGCCAGAGAGTACGATCTCACATACACAAAAAACTCTGAAGAAATACATCTTTGCAAATAGCTTGAAAGTTGATTAGAGCTTTTGGCTGAAGAAAACAAAGCCGTTTTTTAACAATCCTGAATGCTAATTTCTGATCTGACGCAATTTGGACCGAGTATAACGATAGCCCATGACTTCTTTGGCTTTCTGATTATTATACAATATGCAAAGCTATAATGTATTCTTATAATTGCAGAAAACACTCCTTGTAGCTCATTCAATTTTCAGCTTTTACTAGTGATCACTATCTACAATAACTTTACTTCATCTACAAGATACACTTACCTCTTCGCCGTAAGTCAAAAGAGGGATCTCAGGACATTGTGACGATGAATCGGGCCTCGAGCCCGATCCAAACACACCACCATGGGCCGAGTTCATTGCACCAGCACTTTGAGGAAAGCCCGAGGCCTCAATATCTCCATAATCAAACTCATGCTCAAGATCATCGATATCATCTTCATCCTCATCGCCCTCAACTCTAGGACTCCCTACACATACAAAGATTCTCAGCTTCAAAACTACAATCATTTGCTTGTCTTTTTTCAAAATAATAAAACGAAAGAGATCAAAAAAAGATCACCTTTAATGCGCTTGTATCTGGTTTTGCACTGAGGACAAGTCTGATTTCCCTCTTTTCTTTCATACTCGTAACAAGTTCTGCAAACAGGGAAAGCGCACTCATTGCAAGCCACAAAGAGTTCTCCATCATCTGTTATCTCCACTTCATCTTCACAAATTTGGCATGTTTGCCCGCTTAGCTCGTGAACAGATTTAATCTACAGGAGTTTATCAAAACAACATTATGGGTATAAGTTTCAAAAACCAAATGGATGGCTACATACTTGGCTCTCCATTTTACGGAATAAAATCTCCAAACATACAGAAAAACTAATAGGCGTCTTTCCGTTTTCTTTCTCGTGATAATGTAAAACGGACTAATAATTTGGAGTCTACACATTTTATTGAGAATGGCAACAAAATTAAAAAAGTTATTAACAGCCAAGAAACTCATATAAGACCTTTTCCAGAGGCCCCAAATAAAGATAGAATAAAATGCCGAGCAAAACACATGAAACTTCACAAAAAACATAGAAAGAGGGGGTAAAGGTTTGACTGCAGAGAATCAAAACCACTAAATTATTCACATAATTGGCCAGGGGAAGAGAAAACCTCATTCCATGAGAAAACCAAAAGGTGAAATTCAGTTTTAACAAACTTCAAACACACACCTCTGGCTAACGAGGAAAACCCATTTGTCAAAAGGAATAAGGTAAGAACTAGAACAATCAAAACATAATCCAAAGAGGCGAAATCAAACTACGACCAGAAAAATCATTTTAAACGAACGGGAAATAAAAAACTAAAACACTCTGGTTAAGAGAGACTTACCCTTCCAATTTCATCAGCATTAATAAGAACAAATTCATTTCTATTGTGAGAGCCCGCGACAAGCCTTCCTCCAGTATTCATCGCCATTTTCACACTGAAGGAAAAGCCCCAACAGATACCCTAAAAATTTTGCAAATCCAATTCCAGCCCAGTAAAGACACACACACTGGGCAATGTCGGAACAAACCTCTGGCCCTGTTTCAACAAAATTAATCCTCGGATCGACTTAAGCAGCCAGACAACATTTGCAGAGGAACGAACACAAAATCCTCGTAATTACATTCGAGCGCACTCAAGGATTCAGCTCTCAAACTCCAAATCGACCTCGGACAATCCACCTCAAAGTTCACGATTCAAAATTCGGCCACTGAACACAATGGCCGATGGGGAAAATAAAAATCAAAAATAAAAAAGCCAACTTTAGTGAAAAGCCATTAGAGAAACACCATAATCAAGAAATCCAACAAAGGTTTAAGCATACTGTGGTGTTTCTTGAGAGATGTTTATAAATGGTAACACAAGAATTATCTAAATAAATGAATAACACAGACATTATATATATTAGTAATTTTCTTTATTACAAGCTAACGGTGCCCTGTAATATGGCTGGACAGGACAAGTTCTCACTAATGAATGTTTTTGCGTTGAGTCTTTGAATTGATGTGATAGAGAGAAAAGAAGAGAGAGAAAACCAAATAAAATGAAAAACAGAAAAGTGGGATTTTTTACTTTATATAAAATGGTTCATAATTCTGTACCAAACATAAAAAATGAAAAAGAAAAAGAAAAACACTCTCTCTCTCTCTCACTTTGTAATGAAAAGATAGTTAATTGTGTGTGAGAGAGAAATTCTTGAGGCCCAAAAAATGCAGTGGTGACTGATAGCTTGGGAAGTTCGTCCCCACCGAGTTGGTAATGGTAATAAAAAGATGTATGTATAGGACAGGGTATACATACAGTTGTGTGTATGTAAATTTAGATAGAAGGAAGAGAGAGAGTGTGTATGGCAGAAGGAACAAAAGATTGTGGGCTTTGGCTTTGCAATCCAGCTAAACTCATGCTTCTGTTGTGTATGTATGTCGTTTTTGAGTTGTTGTATTGCTTTGTTTTGTGGCTGTCTATTTCCTGATCTGACTGTGCTTAGATACTTGTACCTTCCCTTTCCTTGAGGGTACCTTCCTTTCTATTTCTTATTGGAAACATATGATTCCAATTTAAATTTATATAAAACTAGTAAAATATCTTTATATTACATGGGTGTTTATACAAAAATTTATACTTAAATTTAAAAAGTAATAAAAAGAGTATACATTAAATTTTAAAATGGTTTCTTGAAAAAAATATATTATTGTTATTTATATTTAAAATGACACCATCACACGTACGACTTACTCGTCATATACTATAATATTTACTTTATCTTATATCATGTAAATAATTCGTAGTTAAATTTATTTAATTGATAAGTAATTTTATTTTAATTAAAATTAATAGATAATTTAATTTTTATATGTAAATATAAATATAATTATTTATTTATTTTATCATACAATATAGATGTCAAATCTCGGCTAAAGAAGAGATGGTTCATTTATGTATTATAGATAAAAAATTAATAATAAATATAAAAGTTGACTTTTAAAATATACTAGTACAATACCCCGTGTAGTAGGTTTTGAAAATAGAATCTATTAATATATAAAGAGGGAATGATAGTTGTTTGAAAAAATCAACTAAAAAATCAGGAAAAAAACATTTCAATTCCCGCCTAAATTTTAGAATTACTAAACTTAATTATTTTTTTTAAAAGAATTGAAAATCCCGCTCACTTAAATCAGTTTGAATTTGTTCCTTTCACATTTGATAAATTTTAAATTAAAATCACATGCAAATCGGATTGGATTTGTATAGATATATCTATATAAAAGATTTTGTTTCACTAAACTCACCTATCTACAAATCCGCATGAAATTTTTCTCAAAATTTAATTGGAAATAATATCATTTTTTTTAGGACTCTTTCAAATATTTATATACCCAAAGAAATAATATCAATTATGTGCACCACACGGGTGTATACTTATTTTAAACAGACATTTTTATGTAATTTTGCACAATTTAAACTTTATATAATATTTTCAATAAATTAATATAAGTAAATTGTATTACATATTGATTCTATATTTTTCATTTATAAATATTATTTAATAAGAATTTTTATTTTATAAATATTTATGAATATCTCTTACCCGTGCACTGCACGGGACTCATACTAGTATAAATATAAGGAGCAATATTCTTTTGGTGTAACTAGTTATTCCTTGCTTTGGGACCAAATTGCCACTGCGTACGCTCCATCCTCGTCAAGGAAGGAGCTTATCGTTCCCTCCCTCAGTGGAAGGAGAGAGGTCACTACCTTGTAAGGCTAAATACTCCTGGGTGACCAATAGCGAAATAGTACTGTGAGGGAAGAGATTGGGCAAGCTGGACTTGATCTAAGGGCACGGCTGGCCTAGTTTACTGCCAAGGCCGATTTAGTCTTTTCTTTATTTAAATATATGATAAAATTTATTACTAAAATAAATTTTTTATTTAAAAATTTTGATGGACAAATTGATGAAAAAAAAGAGGAATAGACAGTGCAAAAAGTGATTTGAAAATCATCATTTAGTAGAGAAATATGGGACAAAATTATAATATGGTAAGATTGTTTTTTGCCCAAACTAAGAAGGAAATGTGTACTAAGAGAAAAAAAAAATAACAAAATTAAATATATACTTACCATGTCAGAAAAAAAGTTATTTATGTCTAATATCAAGCCTAACTCTAAATCAAAAATGAATATATATATACAACATTACGAAGCATAGATTTTTGCCATGTCAGCATCTGAAGCATGCGAGTCTTGCACTTAAGCTCAACATATTTTGAATTAATATATAGGTAGAGATTTACAATCTAAGTTAGTAAAATATATTATAATTAAAAAAAATAGGAGAAAAAGAAAGATTGGGGAAAATAATTTCATGCCTTATAAACAACACCCAAAATAGGAAATTATATTGACACGCAATTAATGCTCATAAAAATGGCCATATATGTCCAATAGATTTATGGTTACTTCCAACCCTAATTATTTATGGATTGAAAGTAAAATAAAAGCTATCCAAGCCAATGACGAAGCATGAAATTTTGTCATATATGATCCCGAAGCGTGCGGGCCTGTCACTTAAGTTCAGCACATTCGAGAATTATATATAAAGAGATATGTAATATTAATACAATGCTTCTTTATTCTTTGATTTTTTAAATAATGTTCTATATTGTTATATTATGATACTTGTAATGTACGCGGTTGGATCTTTACTTTGAATTCATCAACCATCTCAAATGAATTTTTATGAATTCTTTCTAGATCTTTGTTAGAAAATCAGTATGAAAAAATTTGGTTTGACTCGATTTCGACTGACTTTTTTATTTCTAAATACTTAACTCAGATTGAATTAAAAAATATAGAAAAAAAATTGCGTTCTAAGTGGATACTCGTGGTATATTTATTTTCTCAAAAGTGATTTTCGGTGATCGATAAACAAATGATTAAAGATAGTCACTAATGGGTACGTAAAACATTAGTTGTGGGTTTCAAAGGATGAAGATTCATTTCCCACATTGAACTCTTAAATGAGGTTAACTCTTTTTAGTATAATAAATAGTTAGAGAAATCACAACAACAATAAAGTTATGCATCATGTTTTGGTGATGACTTCCGCCACACGCGTGCGCCCACTCGTCGGTCGGCTCGGCTCAGCTCTGGCTCTGGCTCGGGCACGAGTTTGGGCCTCGCCTTGGTCCTTGGCAATTAGACTATGGGTTGGACTTGGGCGAACTTGGACGGTCTGGGTCGGTGTTGGGTTTGGGCCAATAAAATCCAAACTGAGTTGGGTTTGGAGTTGATTTTTTACCCAAACCGCATGAGACCCCTCTAAGTAAATTGAACCTGGACGTGCTTGACTCCATCTGACCATTTCGGTAGTTATCAGGTGGAGATGTGTTAACACCTAAAAAACGATCAAGCCGTTTTATGGCCATTTAACCTCTAGTCACCCCCTACTAGTAGGAAATCCTATATATAGGACATGTCTAGAGATGCAGAGAGATCAAACTCATAACATTTTTCATCTGCATACTTCTCTGAATTGGCCTCATGCATCATATTACATACAAATGCTCAGTTCTCGACTTTGTTCAAGTTCATCGGAGCTCTAAAGTCTAGTGTGCTACAACCTTCCAGACGTCAGCCGTTGTATCTTTGAGGACGAGATGTCTGAACCCGTCAACAAATCACAGGGTGTATTCTTTTTGTGGAAAGAGCAACACTCATCTCAGCTATTGTCTTTTCACTTTCATTTGTAATCTTGTTTTCTGTTTTTGGTTCTAGTTGTAAGAACTAAGCCATACACTTCAATTTGTAGTATTTCTGTGTAATCTACACTCACTTTTGTAACAATCTCAAGACGTATATCAACCTACTGAACTGATGGCATCCACGTCATAACACTCACCAAACTCAACAGCAACAACAGTCGATGAACAACGTTGTTCTTAATCATCATCCCGTACCTGTTGTCCATGTCCATACTGCTAAAAAACTCAAGAAATTCAATGGGTTTGACTTGAAGAAGTGGCAGTAGAATATGCATTTTTAGCAAACCACTTTTGGTTTGGTGAAGTACCTGAAAGACAACCCCCTCGATTATTGCTAAAAACGAGACCAATGATGAACTACGTGTTGCGTACGATGCTTTGGGGCAATGTGATTACCTTTTTTGTAATTATGTCTTGAACGAACTTAGTAACAAGTGGTACAATGTGTGAAGCTCGACCAGTTATGCCAAGGACTTTGAATTCTAAGGAGACAAAGTTTTGATTAGTCGTCCTATACGCTATTTGAAAGTTGACTTAATTAAGTAATTCTCATCGTGAACTGGATCAACTACCTTGGAGAAGAAATTCATCGTTGACAAGTTTCTTGACTTCAAGATGGTCGACGGCAGGACCGTCGTGTCTGAAGTGCTAGAGTTTTAATTGATCTTGCACGACATCCATATTGAAGGAATGACTTTGAGCGTAACTTGCTCCAAGTAGCGTATGTGATCGAGAAGTTGTCGTCAGGTAGGAAAGACTTCAAGAACCACCTCAAACATAATAGGACGAATATGAGTATTGAAGACATGGTTGTTCGTCTTCTGATTGAAGAATCAATCGTAAAGTCTTCGAGAAAAACCCTGATGATGGAAGCCCTGATGAGTCTTAAAATATACTTTTCGTAATTGTTGGCCGCCTACTGTTAACCTTTATAATATTCATATGTTCTGAAATTGCAATGATATATATATTATGTTAGGACTAGGCCACATGTAAAGTTATAATGTGATTCTTAATTTTAGTTCCTCAATTTGATACAATATAAAATAGATTTGCTTTATTCTTGATAAATTATATAAAAATACTTCATAATTCTATCGTTTATTTTTTGTCCATTCGAATAAAGTTAAATAATCAACAATTATTTTTAAATTAGAATAACCATCAAATTTATTTTTAAAATAGTTCGTATTCTCGAAATCTCTTGCTCTAATCATTAAACTGTTGTTTTGATCTGGGTAGTGCCCACTAGATATGAGTACGTGACCTAAATTTTTCTTCCCAGTTAAGGAAAACAGTTATGCTGGACCTCTCTTTTTTCTATAAAAGAATATTGCATATTTTGTAGAGGTAACAAATATTGTTTAGCTTTTCCCTTCATATGCTAACTTATACTATA